TGGGAGAAAGGAGGGAGAAGAAAAAAAAGGAAGAAAAAAAAAAGGAAGGAAGGGGAAGGAATGGAAGGAAAAGGGGGGAGGGAGGTAGAGGAAGAAATGAAGGGAGAGGAAGGAAGGGAGAGGAAAGATGGAGAAGGAGGAGAGGGAAAAAAAGAGAAAAGGGGAAGACAGGAAGAGGGGGGGATGGAGTAAGGGGGGAGGGTTGAAGAAAAGGAGGGAAAAAGGTGAGGGGAAGAAAATCGAGGGGAGAAGAGAAGGGGCTAGGGAGAGGGGAGTGTGTCACTCATTCTCTCTCTCTCTCAATTCCTCTCTCTCACTCTCTCTCTCTTTCTCTCTCTCCCTCCCCCCCCTCTCTCTCTCCTCTCTCTCTCTCTCTCTCTCTCTCTCTCTCTCTCTCTCTCTCTCTCTCTTTTTTTTTCTCTCTCTGGGTTGTCTACTTGTGATGATTTTCAAATTCAGTTAAAATTTGAAACTGTAGAGCTGAACTGTTTTGAAAATTGAATTTAAAAAGGCGCGCGAGTAGTATGAATTAACGGATTTTTTTTCCATTTTCTTCCCGTTCTAAATCAAAATCGCCTGACGTAATAAATATACACAAAGGAATAAACGATAATAAGCTACCTAGATGGATTAATAGGTAGATACATAGATAAATAGATAGATAGAGGGACATAGATAGGTAGATATAAATACGTAGATATACAGATATGCAAATACACACACACACACACACACACACACACACACACACACACACACACACACACACACACACACACACACACACACACACACACACACACCTTAAAATAAGTATATTTAACAAAATAATCGCGAAAAAAGAGGTAGAGAGCGAAGAGAGAGAGGTCAGGCGGGGGGGGGGGGGGGGATGAAAAGAGAAAGGGAGGGAGGGGGATGATGTGAGAGGTGGGGGGGGGGGAGTGATGGACGGCAACAAAGAGAGCGAAGAGGCGCAGGTTGAAGGTTTAAAAGGGGATATCCCTGCAATTGCAATGCAACGGGCGTGCCTAGGCTGGCGGAGGGCGATGGGGGAGCGAGAGAGAGAGAGAGAGAGAGAGAGAGAGAGAGAGAGAGAGAGAGAGAGAGAGAGAGAGAGAGAGAGAGAGAAGAGAGAGAGAGAGAGAGAGAGAGAGAGAGAGAGAGAGAGAGAGAGAGAGAGAGAGAGAGAGAGAGAGAGAGAGAGAGGAGAGAGAGAGCGAGAGAGAGAGAGAGAGAGAGAGAGAGAGAGAGAGAGAGAGAAGAGAGAGAGAGAGTGAGAGAGAGAGAGAGAGAGAGAGAGAGAGAGAGAGAGGAGAGAGAGAGAGAGAGAGAGAGAGAGAGAGAGAGAGAGAGAGAGAGAGAGAGAGAGGGAGAGAGAGAGAGGGAGAGAGAGAGAGCGAGAGAGAGAGAGAGAGAGAGAGAGAGAGAGAGAGAGAGAGAGAGAGAGAGAGAGAGAGAGTGAGAGAGAGAGAGAGAGAGAGAGAGAGAGAGAGAGAGAGAGAGAGAGAGAGAGAGAGAGAGAGAGAGAGAGAGAAAGAGAAAGAAAGCTAAATAGGAGATTAATATTGAAGGAAAAACGAAGGAAAAGGAAAATGAAAGAAGGGAGTGAATGGAGAGAAAGATAGAGAGTGCAAAGGGTAAAGAGAGTAAAGAAGAACGAAAGATAGGGAGGAAAGATATAAAACAGTAAAGGGAAAGGGAGAGACAAGAAGAACGAAAAGTAGGCAGGAAAGATAGAAAGAAAAGAAGGTAGGGAGAAGAGAAAAGAAGAGAAAGGGAGAGACGAGAAATGGGAAAAGACAACAAAATAAGAACAAAGAAAAACAAATCAAACAACGAAAAACGAACAAACCAACCAACCAAAAAAGGGACAGAAGAGATGAAGAGAAAATGAAAATAAACAATAAAGATGGAAAAAAATATGAATAGGCAAATAGATAATAATAGATTAAAGAGAGAGAGGAAGAGTGAAAGAGAGAACATATAAGCCAAGCTGGAATAAGAATAGGTAGATAGATAACGATGAGAACTAGAGAGAGAGAGAGAGAGAGAGAGAGAGAGAGAGAGAGAGAGAGAGAGAGAGAGAGAGAGAGAGAGAGAGAGAGAGAGAGAGAGAGAGAGAGAGAGAGAATAAGAATCCAAAGCGGGGTATTTAGATAGATAGATAAAGAAAGATAACAAATAAAAGAGAGAGAGAGAAAGAGAGAAGGAGACAAAGCATAATCAGAGCGGGCCATATAAAGAGATGGATAGATAAAGATAACAAATAAAAGAGAAAGAGAGAAGACAGGTGGAGAGACTCAAGAGGGCATATAAATAGACAGATAGATAAAGATAAAAGATAAGAGAGAAAGAGAGAAAGAGAGGAAGAGAGAAAGAGAGAAAGAGAGGAAGAGAGGAAGAGAGGAAGAAAGGAAGAGAGGAAGAGAGAAAGAGAGGAAGAGTGGAAGAGAGAAAGAGAGAAAGAGAGAAAGAGAGAAAGAGAAAGAGAGAAAGAGAGAAAGAGAGAAAGAGAGAAAATGAGAAAGAGAGAAAGAGAGAAAGACAGAAAGAGAGAAAGAGAGAAAAAGAAGAAGAGAAAAAGAGAGAAAGAGAAAGAGAGAAAGAGAGAAAGAGAGAAGAGAGAAAGAGGAAAGAGAGAAAGAGAGAAAGAGAGAAAGATGGAGAAAGATGAGAAAGAGAGAGAAAGAGAGAAAGAGAGAAAGAAATAAAGAGAAAAGGAGAGAAAGAGAAAAAGAGAGAAAGAGAGAAAGGGAAAAAGAAAGAAAGAGAGAAAGAGAAAAAAGAAAGAAATAGAGAAAGAGAGAAAGAGAGAAAGAGAGGAAAAGAGAAAGAGAGAAAGAGAGAAAGAGAGAAAGAGAGAAAGAAAAAAAAGGGAGAAAGAGAGGAAGAGAGAAAGAGAGAAAGAGAGATAGAGAGAAAGAAAGAAATTGAGAAGGAGAGAAAGAAAGAAAGAGAGAAAGAGAGGAACAGAGAAAGAAAAAAAGAGAGAAAGAAAGAAAGAGAAGAGAGAAAGAGAAGAAGAGAGAAAGAGAAGAAGAGAGGAAGAGAGAAAGAGAGAAAGAGAGAAAGAGAAGAAGAGAAAAAGAGAGAAAGAGAGAAAGAGAAAAAGAGAAAGAGAGAAAGAGAGAAAGAGAGAAAGAGATGAAGAGAAAAGGAGAGAAAGAGAAAAAGAGAGAAAGAGAGAAAGGGAAAAAGAAAGAAAGAGAGAAAGAGAGAAAGAGAGAAAGAGAGAAAGAGAAAAAAGAAAGAAAGAGAGAAAGAGAGAAAGAGAGAGAGACGAGGAGAGATCCAGACGTGGGCAAAGCGCAGGTGCAGTATGAACAAACGGGAAGGTACAAAATGGGTATGGTTGTCAGGAGGGGTGGGGGGGAGGGCAAGGGGAGGGGTGAGGGAAGGGAGGGGAAGGGAAGGGAGGGGAAGGGAGCGGACGAGAGGAGAGGATGGGTGTAAAGGGAAGGCTGTAAGGGGAGGCTGTAAGGGGAAGGGAAGGGAAGGGAAGGGGAGGGGAAGGGAGGGAAAGGAAGGGAAGGGAAGGGAAGGCGAGGAGAAAGGAAGGGGAGGGGAAGGGAGGGGAGGGGAGAGGAGAGGAAAGGAATAGGGGAAGGGCGATAGGAGAGGAAGTGAAGTGAAGAGGGGGCTGTAAAGAGAGGGGAGGGGGAGGGAAATGAAGGAAGAAGAGAGACGAAGGTATAGAAATAGAAGGAGGAGAAAGGAAGAGAGTGATAAGGGAGAGAGTGGGAGAGGAAGAGAAGGGAATACGAAAGGAAGGGAAAGGTGTGAGGAAAGGAAAAGGAGAGGAAGAGAGATAGATAGATAGATAGATAGATAGATAGATAGAGAGAGAGAGAGAGAGAGAGAGAGAGAGAGAGAGAGAGAGAGAGAGATAGAGATAGATAGATAGATAGATAGATAGATAGATAGATAGATAGATAGAGAGAGAGAGAGAGAGAGAGAGAGAGAGGGAGAGAGATAGAGATAGATAGATAGATAGATAGATAGATAGATAGATAGATAGAGAGAGAGAGAGAGAGAGAGAGAGAGAGAGAGAGAGAGAGACAGAGAGAGAGAAAGAAAGAGAGGGGCAAATGAAGGAAGAAAAGGGAGGGAATAAAGTAAAGGAAGAAAATCTTAGAATAAGGAGTAGACAAAGAATTAAAGATAAAGAGGGAGAAGCAAGTACCTAGGGAAGGGAGAGAGTGAAGGGGGGGAGGGGGAGGGAGAAGGGACCTCTAGCGGGCTGTGTGTGTATGTATGTGTGTGCGTGCGTGCGTGCGTGCGGCCGAGAGCGGGGCAGACTTCGCTCGGCAGTCGTGGTCACGCCGCCGTGTCAGTGGGACCGCCGCCGCCCTCCCCGCCGCCGCCTCTCCATGTGGTTCTCGCCGCCGCCGCCCAACGCGATCCTTCCGGTCCTCGTACGCCCACGCCCTCCTCGCCGCTCCTCCGCGGGCGCTGCTCCTCGCTCGTGGGCGGACATGGGCGGACATTGCCCATCTCACTCACGCCCATGATGGACAGGGGGATAATCCCGCCTAATTCGCGGAGATAAGGAGGGTGTCGCACGCACTCACGCACACACAAACACACACATATATACACACACACGCACAGACTCTACCCTCTCGAAGGACAGAGCCAGACAGGAGCCGATAGACAGACAGACAGACAGCGGCCGAAGGGGATGAGCGATCGAACGCCGAGGTGGATGCCGAGATCGGTCCTTGGAGGAGGATAGTACGTGGATAGTACGTGGATAGTACGTGGATAGTGGATGATTATAATTGCTGATGACCTGGATATCCGCGTCTAAGTGTCGAGAATGTGTGTTTTTAATTAAAGCTCGAGAAAAAGACTTTTAAGTAAAAGCCAGAGCGATTGATAAAAGTGATAGAATATATATTTCCATCAACAACTACAACAATAACAACAAAAAAAAAATTTACTCTTCACGACATTTAACACAAACACAGATAATCATTTATCAGGATTGAAGAAAAAAA